TGCTTGGAGGAGTAGGAACTGTAGTAGTAGATTCTAAGTGGTTGATGATGGGTCATACTTCTCTTACTCTGCTTTGGGCTGTAGCTATTCCCCCATAGACTTCTTATCACTGGATCCTTTCTCAAACTTAGAAGTGGCTACATTAGTATTGCTACCTTTCCTACCCCTGTTCTTCTTACCAATATTATTGTTATTGAATCTAGGAGGTAAAAGCTCTAGATGTGGCTTCCAACAGGTGTTCTTCGTGTGCTTGGGCTTCTTATAGTATTCACTCACATCTTTCTTTTTAGTGGTACACATTGGCTTCATTCCGGTAGATTAGTGATCAGCTTGGGCTTTTGCAATCTAGACCTATCTCCTACTCTCCTCACTACTGACCATAGCATAAGCTTGAGATAGGGTCACTTTTAGTTACTTGCCATAGGTGCATTCTCTGCAAAGTTGACGTGGAGACTGGATATTGCCTTTTAGTTACTTGCCATTTTGCTAGAACAATTTGGGAATGGGTCTTCTCCCTTTTGGGTGTAGCTGGAATCCCCCATTGAAAGTGCAAAATTTATTTTCTTCCTCTTTTTTCAGGTAGCATTTGAAAAGTGGTAGGATCATGTGGAGATGCTTAAGGGCTACTGTGTGTTGGTCTTTGTGGGAAGAAAGAAACTCAAGAATCTTCTCAGAAAGGGAGAGGAGTGTTGAAAATGTAATAGAACTAACCCACTTAAGGGCGACACAATGGTTAAAGTCTTCAGCTTTATTCACTGATTTCACTCTAGATGACTTGTTGAGAAAGGGGGAAGAGATTGCTAGCTCTGCCCAGGTTTGGGGGTGTTTTTAGGGATGAGAATGGGGTTGTTTCTGCTTTGTTCTCAGGCCCAATTGGGGTGGGTGACTCTCTCAGAGATGAGATCTATGCAGTTATAGGAGTCCAGAAAGCTAGGGAGATGAATATCAGAAAATTCATAATTGAAGGGGACTCAGAGGAGGTGGTAGGGTGGCTGAATAAACACAACAGTGGCCTATGGAATTACAGCAATGTGAGGAGAAAATTTAAGTGGCTGGTGTGAGAAATGGAAGTTAAGATTAGTTGGGTTAAAAACCTATAAAAAAAAAAAACAGATTAGTTGGGTTAAAAGATCAACTAATTCTTTTGCTGATGGATTAGCTAAAGAAGGGGTGGAGAGGGAATCAATGTTTTGCGCTCAGATGTAATTTTATTGTTTCTCTCTTTTTCTTTTTCTTTTCTTTTCTTGGGGGCTTATATTGTAATTGGAAGATAAGAGAGTTTGTCTTCCTCTTTGTAATTATTCTTATGCTGAATTAATGAATTTGTTATTGATAAAAAAAAGAGAACCCCTTTTGGTTATATAAAGCTGAACTTTGATGGCAGTAGTAGAGGGAACACTGGGCAATCTGGCATTGGGGGAGTATTCAGGGATGAGAATGGGATTGTTTCATTCATGTTCTCAGGCCCAATTGGTATAGGTGATTCCCTTAGGTCTGAGATTCTTTCGGTATTGGAAGGAGTCTGAAGGGCAAAAGAATTGAATATAAGGATGCTTGTAGTTGAGGGTGACTTGGAGGTGGTAGTAGGGTGGCTGAAAGAAGATAAGATTGGGTAGTGGAGCTACAACAATGAAAAGAAAAATTTGAAGTGGTTGGCTGAGGATATGGAAGTAAAGTACAATTGGGTGAAGAGGTAAACTATTTGAAGTGGTTGGCCAAGCAAGGGGTGATTCGGGAATCTATGTTATGGATTTGCTTGTATCTGTTTTAATTTTTTGGGGGCTCTTTGCTTTGCTCGGGGAGTTAAGATAGTTTACCTCCCACCCTCTTTGTAATTAATATTTATATCTGTTTAATGAAAGCTTTTTGTTATTGATAAAAAAAAGATAGGGTCACTTCATCCTTTTCTAGAATGTTTTGTCTAACAATATCATATTCGGGGTTGTGTCCAGTAAGGAACTTAAAGACATGATTCCTCTTCAATAACTTCCTTTGAGTCTTAGCATCGTTTGGGCAACCCTCACAACAATCTCCATCAGATCAATTTCCTTCCAAAGGGATTTCAGCATTAAGAAGTATGTGGTTAAGGGCTTCTCCCCCTATCTTTAGATTATTTACATCATTCTTTAATTTGTTGGCTCTAACAACATTCAATTTTTTGGGAATAGGTCTTTGTAACACCATTCCACTTCTCTTTTTTAGTATCCATCCACAAGTAGTGTTGATTGATGTGAGGTTGGATGGAATATACTAGAATATACTTTTTTTATTGGAAATGGTAACTTCATTAATGCAACTAAAGTATAACTTTCCAGAGTTAAGTACAACTGTCAACCCCTAAACAAGTGTTGAGCCCCTAGTAATCTTTCTTACAAAACTGCCCAGAACATTCTCTCCCTCAGATACCCTTGTTTAGCCAACGTGTCAGCTAAACCATTATCTGATCTCCTTGTCCATTTGAAGCATACACCGATCTCCTTTGTTGTGTTAAGGATTTCCCTTATGGGCTGTCTATAAATCCAGACTCCCAATTACCTCAATCAACAATTTAGAGTCTCCCTTTATCACATTTTGGTGTAACCCCAACTGTTTGGCATATCTTACACTTTGAAGTAAGGCCATCACCTCTGCTCTCAGTGAGTCCCCCACTCCTATTGGTCTTGAGAACATAGCCACAATTCTGCCATTTTCATCTTTGAATACTCCTCCTTTACCTAAAGGGCTTGGGTTACCTCTAGAATTCCCGTCAAAGATCAGTATCACTCTTTGTTGTGTTGGTGGGAACCACAATTCCTGCAAAGTAAGTTTTATGGAAGTAGTAGATGCCACCACTTCCCAATTCCCATAAATGTCTTCCACTCCTTTAAAGATCCTACTGTTCCTTTCTTCCCAAATTGACCATAAGATAGTTGCTCTTGTGGCTTTCCACATTAATCTTCCACGTCTCTTCGGTTGCTTGAAAAAGCTTGGGTCAAAAAGGTTTGCCACATCCACGGGAGGTGTCCATCTGCAACCATATATAGATGAGAACCAGGCCCAAATAAAGCACACAAATGGACAAGAAATTAATAGGTGCGTGGTCGTCTCACCAGAGCCTAAATTTGGCCCTTTTCTTTGCAACATATCTAAAGTATTGATTTTTTGGAGAACTACCTCCCAATAAAAAGCCCGATTTTTTGGTACATTATTTGTCTCCCAAGCACAAAAGCCCCTTGATTTGGAGAAATCATCAGGGGAAGTACATATTTTATTCTTAGGGTTAAAACCTTGGAAATGATTCTGTACATGCTTCCTATCAGACTTATGTGCCTAAAGTCCTTCAACTGGATTGCATCCACCTTCTTTGGTATCAAAGCGATGAAAGTTGCATTTGCGTCTTAGTTAAATTTGCCCCTCTCATAGAACTCATAAAAAACCTCCATCAAGTCACCCCCAATTATCTCCTAACAATCTTGATAGAAAGCCATCGTAAAACCATCAGGTCCTTGGGCTTTAAATCTCTCCATCGAGAAGACTGCATTTTTCACTTCCTAAACCTCAAATTTCTTTTCCAAGGAATCCAATGACTCTTTGTTTCCAACCCTCCAATCTAGGCCCTCTAAATCTTCTCTTGAACTCCTTAGGACCTCATAGAGTGTTTTGAAATGATTCATAAAGGCTTGGACTATGTTCTCATCTCTTGTCAATACTTGCCCATTCCATTCCAATTTCAACATTGAGTTTTTCCTCTTTCTCCCATTTGCCAACATATGGAAAAAACTGGTATTGCCATCTCCTTCCCTGAGCCATTGACATCTAGATTTTTGTCTCCAAGTAACCTCCTCTCCTCTTTGAATGTCTTCCAAATCTTTTTCAACCCCCATGTCTCTTTCCTCTCTTTTGAACTCAAACTTCTCTTAGCTTCCTCACCATCCAGCTCCTCTATTCTATTGAGAATTTCCTGTTTTCTTTCTTTAATTTTTCCAAAAATCTCTTTATTCGGCACCTTAATTCTTGCTTTCAGCATATACTAGAATATACTAATCAGCCTAGACAACTATGTAGTTTCCTGCATCCAACTTTCATAGGCAGGATTATCCTCCTTGGGTTGCTTCTTACTCTACTGATGTGTCCCCATTTCCCTCTACTGTGCGCATGGATCTTAATTGACTGGGATCATGCTAGATAATTGGTTCCATTTAACTTCATTGTGGTTACTGCTCCTAACAGAGTCTCCATTGACCCTCCTTGGCTAAACCCAGAGTTTGTAGGTTGGTTTGTCTCCCCTCTAGTTTCCTCTATAGATTAAACGTAAACAAACAAAAATAACAATAGGGTACTACTAATCAAGAATCACTGCCCTAAAGCTAAAACTACTCTTCCATCATCCAAAACTCAGGTTTCACAGAACCCGACAACTCAGGAGGAAGAGTGAAGTCTAGCCGCTCTTACCTGGAACTCCAGAATCCTTCCCAACCTAGATTGATCTCAATATTTATCTAGAAACTTCTCATCTAGCCCCAAGTGCCAGCTTCAACTTGTCTCTAGATCCCTTAATTCAATTCTCTAGTTAGCTAGGTTTTTTGTGAAACTCTCCAAGAACCTGTCTTGGGCCTCCAACAAAGACTGTATTCTTCTCCAAAAACCTCCCCCAACTAGGCTGTATAAGCTGTTAATCAATCAGCCAATCAATTCTCCATGCACACTGTGTATGGCCTAAAAGAGAAATCAAAAGAAGGTATGGACTTGCTTTGGTACCAGTTTCATTTTGAATTTCTACAAAATATGCTTGTGGATTTTATTCCACTTTTGAATCTCCTACTTATGTTACATTATATATGCATTTTTAACTTGTTTGTCAGTATTACTATAAACAATATATGTCCATATAGTTATCCTGTCAATTTATTTCGATATTGTTAACAATGATTTTTTTGTGAACAGTTTGTTAAGTTTGACAAGTTATTGTAATTGCTTCATTTTATGCTGATTCTGTTGTGTATACGAGGGTCATGCACCAGAATATACATGAGTTCTCCATACTTTCTCCGCTTTTGGACAAAAAAGCTTCTTGTCAATTTCTCAATGCTTCTATATACAAGGTTTGTCTTGGTACTCCATATTCAACCTTTTAGAGCTTACATATTCTCTTTTTCATATATAAATTACAATTTATAAGTATTGCTAATCTACCTTTACTCTTTTCAGTCAGTATTGTTTCTTATATTCTAGTTTATTTATCTGGGTAAATTTCTGTACAGAAGCATCTCTTTCATTTTTGTATCATGAATCTTCATTTATTAGAAAATGGGCACCATTGGTAATCTATGTGTAGCTCCTAACAATGATAAAGTAAAGGTTTAAATTGTTTGGTTATGTTCAAACAAAACCCATTTTAACAGTATCATTGAATAAAGAAAGAAAAAAATCACTGAGGGGTCTAGTAGGAACAAAAGTCTTGGTCAATAGTCTTCTTTGGGTCAGACAGACAGACAGAATCTCATCTTGTGATTATGTGGTTCTTCCCAGTTGAAAATGTGATGCGGCCTCTATATTGAATTGTTAATCCTCCACTTCTTCTTAATTATTGACACAACTCTGAATGCAAATCAGTCTTTCTTCAATTTCAGTACTTAAACTGCATAAGCTGATATTAAATTAGAAGAAACAGTGCTATCTAAGTATTAACTAATTATTGATTAGTTGATGACTAGTCAGTTGAGGGCTATAGTGAGCCAATTATCCTAACATAGCACAAAGTTATTTTAATATCTTATTTGCTTGTCTTTATCTATAGGCATTTAAAATAATAACACATATGCCTTTATTTTGTTATATGCACACCAGGTGCTCTATGTATTTGTCATGCTGCATGGTTGGGTGATGGTACATAAAATAGAAACAAGGCATAAGATAAAAGAAAACAATTGGTGTTCTTTTAAGTTTTCTTCTAATCAGTGGTGTGCTGATTTGGAATTGCCACAAACATGGAACTACATCCAATAGTTGAAGTTGTAGCTTTTCTTAGAAAATAAGGATTGCCACTCCCTATCACTGCCTGTGGCCTTTGTTTGAAGGTTTTCAAATCCAAGACTCTGAAGCAAATGTTCCATATAGTTCTTTTATTGCATATTTGCAGTCTGTATTGAGTAATATCAATATCTTACTTTTAGAATGTACCTTTTTCGTAGGTGACTAGTCAAAACCAATGCACCAACCAGCCACCACATCAATTTGAGAGGCTAAAAGGACTAGTCATCACCTCAGTGCATAGTTAGTATTGAGAACAACCACCGTCATCTACAACCATTTCACATAATGTTCCTCCCACAGTATGTGTTTAGAAAACATTGGGCTATAATCATCTGTGGGTGCATTAACTGAAAAACCATTTTAGGTTTTTAATTTGGTCCCTAATGTATATCTAATAATCTAATGGTACAATGCACATAAGTGAAACTCTTAGCGTTAAGTTCTGGGATTTGGAAACTGCATGGGATGTTCTGAAGGTAGGTTAATTGTCCTTGGGAATGAAATCTCTCTCTCTCTCTCTCTCTCTCCCACCCCTCCAGTATCAATTTCGAGAATTAAATGGAAGCAAGAAGCAAGGGATGGAGTAATAAAATAACTTTCAACAAACAAGGATTTCAAGAAGAAATTTCTAGCAAGAATTTCCATCAAGTCAAGAAAGATTCAATAATAATTGACAAGATAGAGATATGCAATGAATATAGAACAGAACCAAGAAGTAATTGTAGAGAACACTGATGTGGGCCCCACAGCTACGGTCCCACTGTGTTCGTAGGGTAGAAGATGTTCTAGTCTGCCTAGGGTTAGCTATTGGTTATTTAGTTTTTTTAGTTGTTATTTATTTCAGTCTTATTTTTTGCTCTATTTGTTATGTAAAGACTAAGGGCAGATCTGTCCTTTCCATGTAATGAGCATAACCTATAAATATTAATTAAAGTGGCGGCGGCAGAATATGAAGCTTCTGCTCCTCCTTTCAACTCTTGTGTTCTACTGCTTCTCCTCCCTCTTCCTCTTCTTTCCTCTTACCTTTCTTCTTTTCGATCCTGAAATCCATTAGGGTTCAAGACTGATAACAGTCCTGAACTTATACTGTAATCAAGCTTGATTAAGAAGTACAGGATTCAAGAAAGAATGCCAAAGATAACCAAGAATGTTTATATCAAATCCAAGGAGAGGATACGAGATAAAAAATTTGCAAACTCTCCAAGAACATCAGTTATTTAATTTGAAGATTTGATCTTTATTGCATAAATCAATCACTATTTGCTGATGGCCTCACAAAGACGTTTTTTTAGTGAGGGTTAGTTACCATAAAGGGCAATTTTCTACTTCTATTACAACTCCAGTAAAATAAAAACACCAAATTTGCATCAGCAGCTATCACCTTACCAACAAAATGATTATAACTCTCTGAAAACATGCCAAGCTTTCAATATCTTGGTCTTATTCGATTAGATTAATTGATTACCTATCTGATGACATGAAAGGCATGCAAATTGAACAAGTTTTGGCCACTGCAAAATGGGCTGGAAGGGAAGTGATAAACTTACAGCTTCAGCAAAAGAACTTAATCTTACACTGGATCTACATACTAAGACAATGTAAAAAACTCTTATAAAAAATTCTCTAATCTATTGACACTCCAAGAATCTAAAAGAAATACCTAAATCTAGAGAAACTGATCCCATTAATAAATGACTTGGCTAGCGTGGCAGCCACCTTAATATTCACATATAATGGTCCAATAGGATTGTTAGTCTCGGTGTTTTTTTTCGATAAGTTATTCTTAGTTTTGGTGTTGAGAATAGAGGCTACTGAAACAGATATTCTATTTTTGTTGACAATCCACCTGGTCATTATTGTGCTTTATTTCTTATTGTCGTTTTATTGTTAATGGTCTGTAATGTGTGTTTAGGCCAACACTCTTTTTTAATCTCTATTGCTGTTGCCCTTGAAGTGTACAAATGCAATTTGACTCGTGATTAAGAAGTTAATATAAAATCTAGTAGGAAGAACCACCCCCCACAATCTGGTTTTTCTTTTCTCTCATTCTCCTATCTTGTTTCTTCTTTCCTCTTTCTCTACTATTTTTAGACACCCTGATGCTCTGCATATTTCATGTTAGTTTTATTGATTAGTAAAACAAGCACAAATTATGAAGTTATCACAGAAACTAAAAGAAAGGAGATTTCAAATATATGTTACACGAGTGATACTTTTTATCTATTGATTGCATCACCTAACATGTCCAGGCATGTTCTAGGGGGCAACTGAGGTTGATAGCCCCATCAGATATCATGGGAGTCATGGCTTTTGTCAAAATTTCTTCTGGAAACCTCCTGTAAGATGGGGATGTGGCCAGAAGAATTTTTCAGGTTCTGTTTTCTTTATTTTCAGATCTGTTAGCAGTGTTTAAGACTTGACTAGTGCTGCAATTGAGTCAAGCTCTAATCAAACAGTTTGATCTTGAGTTCGAAACAAGTTCAAATCTCAAGGCAAGCTTGATTAGTTATTTGAACTCGAGCTCGACTAATAAAAAGTTTGGCTTGAAAGTTCGCAACCTGGCTCGATTAACATACACATACATGTATACATACATTTATAGAATATAAAAATATATTTTATAATTAATTTTATGAAAATATATTTTTATATTCTATATAATATAAAAATATAGTATATATTATAATATATATATATATTTATAGAACATAAAAATATATTCATTTTTGAGCATTCAAGCTGAACTCGATTGAATATTTAATCAAAGCAAGCTCAAACCAGGAAATAGAGTTTGAATCGAACTCAAATTCGAATTCTAGCTTAACAGTATTTTAGTCAAACTTAGCCAATACATACAAAAGTTCGACTTGGCTCGGCTTGATTGCACCCCTAACTTGGAGTGGGCACAAAACCAGATTGCTTTCTGGGTTACAAGTCAAATGGTTTGACTGCTGGGTCAAACAGTTAGATTGCAACCCGGCTGGTTTTCAATGGTTCCGCTGGGTTTTGATCAATTTGATTGGTTTTTTCTAAATCTGAAAACTGGGGTATTAAAAGACCGGAATAACTTCCAGTTCCTGGGTTTTATGGTCCGAATGCCCATTCCAGTGCGAGTCTTACAGCACTGTGTGTTAGCTTATTTATGGGATTCTCAAACTGATCTAAGGAAGCACATTCTGCTTCATCAGTATCATAGTTGTCAAGGCGACGCCTAGACGACAAGGCGCCCTCCTTTGAGGCTCGCCTTGCCTAATCGCCAAATAGTTTTGTACTATGTATTATAAAATACTTTTTTATTCTTTATTTTTTGACATTATAATTATAAAATAGGCACTATTAAACTAAAATATTCATTTTATGTGTTTATATACTAATTTCTTTTTATTATTTTCTTATTTGTTAGGGTTTAATCAATATAAACATTGCTAAATGCTGTATTGAACCCCCAAAGACTTTAAAACCTGAACCAATAAGTAAGGGAGAACTTAAAATTTTGTCTAATCAACACATTTTCTACTACTACACATTTTCTTTTCTTCTTTTCCTATAACAAAAATAAGGGTTCAGCCCCTATATTTTTTGAATTTTCTTTTCCTTCTTTTTCTTCTCATGAATATGTTGATTTTCTTTACTTTAACATGAACTCTATACTTTTCTTATGAAAATTATGAATAATTCTTAAGGAAATATGGTTATGGTACCTAGGGAACTACCCTAGAATCTATGTTTTCTACATAAAAGAATCCATCGCCTAGGCGACAAGGCCCCCCCTTGTTGCCTAGCCTCGCCTTGGTGCCTTGAAAACTATGATCAGTATCTAGGTGGTATGCCCTGTTTGCATAGCAGTCATAGTCTGTAATCTTGTGTTGATGGGCTTCAATTGGATATCCATAATTGATGATTGAATGGAACTGCTTAAACCAGTTGTATAATTTGTTTTACCTGTAGCAATAGATGTCTCTTCTGTAAAACTTTCCCAAAGAAACTTTGGAAGTAAAGTCTGTCCACTTATATGTTTCCTTTAGAACAAAGTAAGGCTGAAAAGTCCAAATGAAACCCTCTTTCCTTTAAATGTATACTATATGAGACGTAGTGCAAATATTATAAGAAAACTATTAAGAAACAAGACAAGGTAGATCAGATTGCACAGCCACAAGCACAGAGTTGAAAGAAGTAGTCTAACCAAACAAAATTTGATTTTTATGACAAAAACACCGAAAAATGATCACTTGAATCTAAAAATAGTTGTATAGTACATGATAAAACACCTAAAACCACAATTTATCAGGGAATACAGTTTCTTTTTAACAATTGACTATTAATGTTTTGATACACCCATGTATCTGATGATTTTGGTTAGCTTGCCGGTCAATCAGATTAGGTGGAATGTGACCTCTATATCTATAAACTGTCCTTTGAATCCTGATTTAACAATGTAGAGTTGTAAAACCTGTAATAGAAGTAGAAGAATAAAAAAGAGCAATATGGGATAAATGAGGAATAATTAGAATATTAGATTCATGGCTGGCACTGTTTTCTGACTATTATTAGTAGTAAGACAGTACACCCAAGGACAAAAGTTTCTCCAGTACAATGTATATCACTAGTATGACTCATAATTGCTATTTAAGACAGAAATAGAGTAGATTTTTTTTACCTGATCTGACAACATAGAGAAATATAAGAATATAACTAAGGGTGTGTCAATGGACTGGGTTTGGATTGGACAGTCTGAATCAAAATCAATTTGAATGGATTGGATGGACTAATAAGACATATTAAATTGGACCCGTCCAGACTTTATGGTCCATTTCCATTTGTAATGGATTTATATTGGACTGGGTCGGATTGAACCAATATCCAGTCCACTGACATGATAAGAGTACAGGGGTCAATGAACCAGGTTTGACTTGGACCCAATCTAAAATAAAATCAATTTGAACAGTCCAAACATTGAATTGGACCAGTCGAGAACAGTCCAAAGTATTCAACAGATTGGATTGGCCTGGTCCATTTGTAATGGACTCATACTGGACCAGATCGAATTGGACCAATACCTGGTCCATTGACAGCGGTATATATAACCTTGTTCTTGCTTTTTTAACCATTTTCTATTCACTACATTCTATTTCTACTTATATGTATCCTTCCACTACAAATTTGTGGTAATATTTTCTCTCAATATTTTTTCTTTACGTTTTTCTTGTCTGTGCCCAGTTTGGAGGTTGAACTTTTGGGTTCATCTGTTTTTCTCGTAAAATAATTATAGTCTTTTCTTAATGTATATTAACAGCATTCCTTCACTACTTGAGTATCCCTTTTGAATGACTGCTTTTTGTGTAAGCTAACGTTATCAATAAATGAATTTTCTTGTCAGGTTGCTTTGTCCAAAGATCTTTGTCATTTGATTGTCATGATCCATGGGGAACTAGTAGAAGATAAGACAGAACTAAAGGAGCGACAAATACCTAGACATGACTTAGTTGGCTTGCATTGTTTACTTCTTGATACTTCTATTTTCCGGAAGAGGCATGCTATCAAATATCTCACATAAGATTGGATTACTATTTTATGTCTTTTAATATCTTTACTCCCCTCAGTTTCATAATCTTGAAATTACATAAGTGAGTGGACTTCAACTCTGGTCCTGTCAAATTGTTCTGGCATCATGTGAGAAATCACAGAAATACCTGTTGAAGAAATTATTCTTGATGGCTTGATTGCATAATGACCCACCTAGTGTTCAAATATAAGTTTATAGCTCTCTAAATATGTGGCAAGTCTACATGGAAGACTATCCCTAGCCAGAGTGATTATGATTGTTGGTTAAAAAATTTGATTACATTTTCATACAACACAATTAACTTCATTAAATAATTTAGCTTTTATTATTTGGTAAGGCCCATCTGGTTTATAATACAGATGGCCCCCTTAATTAAAGAGAATACTATTTGATTTAATGCGAAGAAACAAATAAAAAAAACGTAGAATGCACTTCAATACTGCAGTCTTTTACTGAAAATTATGATTTCATCTCTTTCTAAATATCTCCCAAAATTTCACTTGTAGATATGACAATCAGTCCCAAATATTTAATGGCCATAATCAGTTAAGTTAAATGTCAAGTACCACCTAAAATAACATCAGGAATAGGGATATGAACATTGATATGTGTTGAGTGGGCCGACTTGTGTTTAGTTTATTTCCTTTTAAATTAAGATGTTGTTGGGCCTTAGGCCCATTAGTTTTTATTTTTTAAAGAGCTGT